GGTGCAACCACTGTCCATGATGACGTGATCGAGCAAACCAAACGGATCTCTTTCGATTCTGCGGCTTTGAATAAACTGCATACCTCGATCTGCTTCAGTAGCAAGATCTGGCAAGTCTTCACTTTTACTAGCATAGTGCCAGTCGGATTGAAGTTTGACGTTAGTCGTTCCAGTAGGACATGCAATAAGGTAGACATCATTGCCATTCTCATCCTTTCCCTTGATAGCATCGTGAAAGACATTTGACGTATCATAATAGCCAGTCTTCACAACTTGCAGAGTTTGAGCTTGAGTTGCATCAAATCCTTGGCGCACTTGAGCACCACTGAAGCCTTGTTGGCTGAGTTGCATTCCACTGAACGCAATCTCACCGGTAGCATTCATAGAGTAAGGGACAGTCACAGTGCCGCCACCTTGAGTTGGAATCTGCATGAGCTGCATTCCCAAAGGAACTTGCATCATTTGATTACCTGTAGTACCAGCAAGTCGCAAAGGTGTGTTAACACTTCCCGCAACACTCGATGTACCGCCAGTGATAACACTTGTCGCTGGAGAAGTTCCAGGAACTGTAGCTGTAGTTGGGACAGTTGCTCCAATCTGATTAAGATTGAGCTTCTTCCCGTAATCAACATAGTGTTTTGGATGCTTCCATTGAATCTCTGGTAGCAGTCTGTCTGGGCATTTTGGAGACATATGATCCTCTTTGCCACATACATAACATGCTGCCTTTTTCTTATCGTCCTTTGGTTTACCTTTACCTTTACCTTTATTTGGCTGGTCTTTTCCTTTATAAAGGTTCACTCCCGGATTCTTGATCACATCCATGTGAGTCTTCAACATATCTTGTGCTTTGCTGACCGTCTTTGGATAATAATCCACTTCCCTGCAGTAGTTCATCTGAAGATCCAGCATCAGAGGAGCTGTTCTCATTCAATCAAAGTTGCACAGGAATCCTGTTGCAATAACGGCTTCAAAGATGTCATCCTTGAACTTGTCTTTAGCAATAGTATTGGTGCTAGCAATAGCAGCATACGCTTTCGTCTTGACTGCAAAATTTCGGAACCAGGCAACACCATTTAGATCTTCCAGGACTTCAGCCTGTCTCAAGAATCGTTCCTTGAAATGCATCAAGTTTTTGGTTGTTCCTTGCTTCATAGCAAAGAACTTTTGATTGGCTTCCCAGAAATCGAAGAAGTCATACTCAGCATCAGCACTCTTCTTCATGAACCGTTCAATAGGCTTCAAGAGTTCGATTGGATCTTCAAGAGTAGTCGTGAATTTGGCTTCACCTCGAAGCTTGATATTCGCTTTTGTCACAAACTTAAGCGTGATGTTTGATTTGACAGTTCGCTTGTTCGTTTTGAAGTAGGCTGATCTCCGCATGTTCTCGTTGAGCTTTGCAGAATAGAGAATCTTGTTTTGAGCCATCTCTGTTTCTCTTGCAACAGCTTCAGTTTAAGTTGGAGCATTCAATGTTGGAGCGATCGCATTGAAGTCGATCGACTTTCCATCTCAAATTGATTTGACCAGGTCTTCAGAACATTTCATTCCAGAAGCTTGGATGTAGTCAATCACTCTTTCTTCGGCATCTTCGTACGACGATCTTGCCTTTCCATCGTTTTCATCTTTTGTTGAAAATAGATGTTTCACAACTGTTGAGCTCGAATTGCTCTTGACTTTCTGAGGAGTCACACGTCCCCTTCCTCCACCGGATGAAGAGCGTCCCATAGTCAACAAATCACTCACTCCTTTGTAGATAAGGCAGTGCTGTTCTTGACGTATATTTGTTTTGTTGCCTTTTGTGATTGAATGTTAGAATAAAGCAAAATAGGAAGGGTGTTGAAGATGATTTTTGAGATATTTTGAGATTGGAGAATGAGGAGCAGAAACACAAAACAAGGCATTAGAGAATGGGACATCTTGTGTAAATTGAACAATGCCTGACAATAATGTGAGAAGGATTGACAAGATATAAGCAAGATCAATACATAAGGAGAAGTGAGTTGAATGCAGTCATAGCAAGATACCAGATGCTGTGAATGACTGAGAAGCACAAATAGAAAATAGAGTAAGGAATATTTTAGCTCACAATTGCAAGACCGATAGATTTTACTTCTAGGGAGATTCCAACACGTGCGTACAAGATGCTTTCCGGGCTGACAGCTGTAGTAGTGTTGTCTTTCTCAGAAACATCCATATTGCGTGGATCTGGCATAACAGCGGGTAATGATGAGAACTTTTCTTCTTGGAAGCTGTTGCTTATTATGTTCCATAAACTATAAAATTGAAATTGACAGCCAACTTTTTTCCAACGCACATCATATATATTTTATGCACGCGTGATAAATGTGAATGAATGCCCCTCTTCTCCACCTCTCCAATGCAAGAATCCCAAAAAATCTACCGTTATAAAATAAGCTCCTTCCGCTACGGTAGTATTCTTCATTGCGCAGTTCCCACTACAAAGACTGTCTCTTGAGATCTTAATAAATGATATTTCATTACTGGAAGGATCATTGTACTTCGTTGTGCGTGCTGTCATGGCTGATCGGTTGGAGTCAAAGCACCACCAGTTTATGAGATGTCACCTTGGCTTAGCACACACATCCATCGCCATCAGACTGTACGGAATAGAGATCTCTTCCTGCGCGGCTCTTCAGTGCAGATATACTACCATTTCAGCATGTATTTCAAGTGATTCATTCAAGTCTGTCTTTTCTGAAGCGGGAAGGCTTCTTTCTACGCTGCTTCCTGCATCACATATTCAGAAGCTATGGGTAGCTAATTGACACTGTTGTAGCTTGAGTTCTTTGATAAGAATTTCTT